GTCCTCCACAACCTCCAGAAGCACCACAACCTCAACAAACACCTCAGGAGACCTCCAAAACCTCCACAAGCTCCTCCAAGCTCCTCTATTTCTCCATACCAAACCTTGGACAGCTTTACTGGACAACTTTGGTCAATCATTTGGTTGTAAATAGGATCTTTTCTCACATTGGACAATATGCCGCTAATTGTTGCTCTCAATTTCTTTATATATTTAGAATTATCCATTTTAAGGTAAAATATGCAATTAGGGGTTCCATTTTCTCTAAAAGCTATTTAGAGAAAACGAATTTTAGGCAGGAAATACGGAAGCGCAAACTGCTGTATTTTATCACGAGTCATTACATTAAACGTTGCTAGTAAATACACTAGTGACAAAAACCAGCTCAAACCACGATATATATAATATATATATATATTATATATATATATATATAATATATATATATATATATATATATATATATATATAATATATATATACATATATATATATATATATAGATATTATATATATATATATATATATATATATATATGTCGTACCTAGTAGCCAGAACTCACTTCTCAGCCTACTATGCAAGGCCCGATTTGCCTAATAAGCCAAGTTTTCATGAATTAATGTTTTTTTTGTCTACCTAACCTACCTAACCTAACCTAACCTAGCTTTTTTTGGCTACCTAACCTAACCTTACCTATATATATAGGTTAGGTTAGGTTAGGTAGGGTTGGTTTAGGTTCGGTCATATATCTACGTTAATTTTAACTCCAATAAAAAAAATTGACCTCATACATAGTGAAAAGGGTAGCTTTATCTTTTCATAAGAAAAAAATTTTAGTCAATAGTTAATTCAGGAAAACTTGCTTATTAAATACAATCGGGCCTTGAAAGTAGGCTGAGAACCACGATATATATATATATATATATATATATATATATATATATATATATATATATATATATATATATATATATATATATATATATATATATATATATATATATATATATATATACACACCAAGATGTGAACACCATTGCTCTTTGTATATACATTTAGAGTAGTTTTTAGTTTTTAAACAAATATTTTGTGTTTACTAAAGAGGAACTTAGCATTATGCCATCAGCTAAACAAGTCAATATGGGGTGGGAAAAGGACAGATTGAGTAGTTTAGGAGTTACCAGAAAGGATGTTATTAAACAAATAGTAAAACTCAAGCCAAACAAATCCCCAGGGGTCAGACGACGTGTTTGCCAGGGTGCTTAAACAATGTAAACAAGGGCTTTGTTCAGCCCTTGTTTAGCTTATTCAATAAATCATTAAAGTTACAGCGGTAATGGAGGGTTGCTAATTGGGTACCAATTTTTAAGGAGCAGCAGCTGACGTGCGCCGTGGAACAGTAGCAGCTGACGTGCGCCGTGGAACAGTAGCAGCTGACGTGCGCCGTGGAACAGTAGCAGCTGACATGCGCCGTGGAACAGTAGCAGCTAACGTGCGCCGTAGAACAGTAGCAGCTAACGTGCGCCGTGGAACAGTAGCTCGACAATAAGCAACTCACGTTACTTGACATGACTTGCTTGCTGGTATCAGCTTCGGTCGTCGACGGTGCAGTGAATCAGTCTCCAGCAGCCGCTCCGTACACTTCACCGTCAGTAGTGAAGGAGAGTTTGTCGACAGAAGTGAACCAAATTCCTGTCTTATGTTTAGTATTTTCTAAACCTCTCTCTCTCCCTTGTTCTTGTACCCTCTGGAGGGCGCCTCAAAGACAGGAGTTTGCCTCCCGGCCGCCCGCGGTGATGCCGAACAGGTTCCTGCTCGCTATGGATTCGCTCCTCTTATCTTACCGACCTATCGCTGTGTTGTTTTCGGTAGTGGAGTGTGAGGTGAAGGGTTGGCTGGTTGTGGTGGTTGCTGTGGTTGGAGGGGGGATGGGGGGGTTGGTGTAGTGGGTTGGTGTTGGGGGGAGGGGTTGTTTGTGGGGGTGGTAGTCGTGGGGGTTGGGGGAGGGAGTGGTGACAAAGGTTGTGACCACCCAAGGGGGAGCCGAGCGGACAGCACGCTGGACTTGTGATCCTGTGGTCCTGGGTTCGATCCCAGGCGCCGGCGAGAAACAATGGGCAGAGTTTCTTTCACCCTATGCCCCTGTTACCTAGCAGTAAAATAGGTACCTGGGTGTTTGTCAGCTGTCACGGGCTGCTTCCTGGGGGTGGAGGCCTGGTTGAGGACCGGGCCGCGGGGACACTAAAAAGCCCCGAAATCATCTCAAGATAACCTCATAGGAGATAGCATATGTTGGCCAGATATCTGCAAAAAACACAACATTAGTATTTCAAAGTCTGCCAATGTAACTATCTTCGTGAAATTTTATTAAAAAAAAAATCACACATACAGCCCCTCTCCTGTGCTAGGCAAGTCCACTACGGGGTCACCATAGCCCGTGCTACTTACAACTTTCTATTCCCAGTCACATTTAGCTGAATCTAAAACTAGAACAACATTTTATTTAAAACCAAATACCTTGTCCCTCGTTAAATGTAGCACGGTAGTAGAAAGTCAGTACTGGAGGGTACAGCAGCTATATAACGCTCTGTGACCTAATATATATGTATATATATATATATATATATATATATATATATATATATATATATATATATATATATATATATATATATATATATGTCGTACCTAGTAGCCAGAACGCACTTCTATGCCTACTATGCAAGGCCCGATTTGCCTAATAAGCCAAGTTTTCATGAATTAATTGTTATTCGACTACCTAACCTACCTATCCTAACCTAACCTACCTTTTTCGGCTACCTAACCAAACCTAACCTATAAAGATAGGTTAGGTTAGGTTAGGTAGGGTTGGTTAGGTTCGGTCATATATCTACGTTAATTTTAACTCCAATAAAAAAAATTGACCTCATACGTAATGAAATGGGTAGCTTTATCATTTCATAAGAAAAAAATTAGAGAAAATATATTAATTCATGAAAACTTGGCTTATTAGGCAAATCGGGCCTTGCATAGTAGGCCGAAAAGTGCGTTCTGGCTACTAGGTACGACATTATATATATATATATATATATATATATATATATATATATATATATATATATATATATATATATATATATATATATATATATATATATATATATATATATATATATATATATATATATATATATATATATATATATATATATATATATTATATATATATATATATATATATAATATATGGACACTAAGGACATTAAACAAATCACTATATACATTCTCTCGCTGAAATATCTCGTGCTATACAAACTTTATTTACTAAGCAATCTCTGACGTACACATAAACAACTCTAATATGTGTTCTTATGTATATTTAATGAATACAATTATTATTATTTTTATTTAATTCACCTGGACTCTAGGAGAAGGTGAATTAAATGTTTATTTCAACGGAAGTGTGAATGACAATTTATTAGTAGTAGTCTTATTGTTGTTATTATTATTGCTGTACAACGTATCAATGAGAAAAATCAGTAAGAGCCGTAAAGAGGATTCGAACCGGCACACTTAACATATATCGCGGTACAGGAGGGTTGAAGGTGTGTGCTTGGAAGTTGCAAGGGTTCAGGTTCGAATCCTTATCATGACTGAACGTGAACTCTTAAACTTTGAGAGCCGAGGGTGGGCGGGGCAGCGAGGCGCCCCCACAGGAGGCAACAGAGTAGAGTAGAGCCACATACACCATCAAAAACTCAGTTCCTAGGCCTTCTTCCATTAAATATATTACAACAAAAATTATTACCGAAGCGAAAATGTTTTATAGAGGCAAATAGCTGCTGAAAGTGGTGGATCTGCCGGGTTGTAGCGGGGGTGTGTGTGTGTGTGTTGGCCTGCGGGCCGCTGCACGCAACAGCCTGGTGGAACATGTCACCAAAGGACCCGCCGCGTCTCAGGCCGGGTTTGGACAATACTAGAACTCTGGAGACTTACAACAGGTAATGTAAGTCGTCTTGCTGGGAGTTATTGTGGCTATGACTCATTCACACCTGTTGTGCAGCTGTTGGGCACCTGTTGTGCACCTGTTGTGCACCTGTTGAACGCCTGTTGTGCACCTGTTGAACGCCTCTTGTGCACCTGTTGAACGCCTCTTGTGCACCTGTTGAACGCCTCTTGTGCACCTGTTGAACGCCTCTTGTGCACCTGTTGAACGCCTCTTGTGCACCTGTTGAACGCCTCTTGTGCACCTGTTGAACGCCTCTTGTACACCTGTTGAACGCCTCTTGTACACCTGTTGAACGCCTCTTGTGCACCTGTTGAACGCCTGTTGAACACCTCATGTACAGTTGTAGACCTTCATCACCTGTCCTTACCGATCCTCTTAACTCTCCTCTGTACCTCCATACAATCCTTAAAAAAAAAAATTCTCTTCAACCCCTTAAACTCCCTCTTAGCTCGACTATATATATATATATAAATATACTTATACCGCTGCCTCATAATTTCCTTCTCGTCTCCATCCCTTCCCTCTCCCTCTCTCTACCGCCTCCTGATGCCCTCCTGATAACGCCAGAGACGGTGTAGGGAGCTAATGACCCTTGAGTCCTACCTATCACTAACGTTCCTAACCCAACTACCTGACGCAGATGAATGGCCTGGTTGGCTGGGTTGTGGTAGCGGCGGCTTCTCTGTCTCTCTCTCTCTCTGGGCCGAGACAGGCTTGACAGGAACCAGGAGAGACGGGGAACCGTTCCGTCAATTACGGTCTTGTGTGCGCTTTTCAAGTTTCATCTTGTTCTACATAGTGTTCTGATTAGGGGGTCGTATTTCTGTTCTGATTGGTGCCGAGGACGGCTGGTTGGTTGGTTGTCTGGTTGTGTTTGTGGTTGATGCTATGTTGGGTAGTTGTTGCTGGTTGAGGCTGTGGCTGGTTGAGGCTGTGGCTGGTTGAGGCTGTGACTGGTTGAGGCTGTGGCTGGTTGAGGCTGTGGCTGGTTCAGGATGTGGCTGGTTGAGGCTGTGCTGGTTGAGGCTTGGTTGAGGTGGTGACTGGTTGAGGCTGTGGCTGGTTGAGGCTGTGACTGGTTGAGGCTGTGGCTGGTTGAGGCTGTGGCTGGTTGAGGCTGTGGCTGGTTGAGGCTGTGACTGGTTGAGGCTGTGACTGGTTGAGGCTGTGGCTGGTTGAGGCTGTGGCTGGTTGAGGCTGTGGCTGGTTGAGGCTGTGGCTGGTTGAGGCGGTGTGACTGGTTGAGGCAGTGTGACTGGTTGAGGCAGTGTGACTGGTTGAGGCAGTGTGACTGGCTGAGGCGGTGTGACTGGTTGAGGCTGTGTGACTGGTTGAGGCTGTGTGACTGGCCGAGGCTGTGTGACTGGCCGAGGCTGTGTGACTGGCCGAGGCTGTGTGACTGGTTGGGGCAGTGTGACTGGTTGAGGCGGTGTGACTGGTTGAGGCGGTGTGACTGGTTGAGGCAGTGTGACTGGTTGAGGCAGTGTGACTGGTTGAGGCGGTGTGACTGGTTGGGGCAGTGTGACTGGTTGGGGCGGTGTGACTGGTTGAGGCGGTGTGACTGGTTGGGGCGGCGTGGCTGGTTGGGCGGTGTGACTGGTTGAGGCGGTGTGACTGGTTGGGGCGGTGTGACTGGTTGGGGCGGTGTGACTGGTTGGGGCGGTGTGACTGGTTGAGGCGGTGTGGCTGGTTGGGGCGGTGTGACTGGTTGGGGCGGTGTGACTGGTTGGGGCGGTGTGACTGGTTGGGGCGGTGTGACTGTTGGGGCGGTGTGACTGGTTGGGGCGGTGTGACTGGTTGAGGCGGTGTGGCTGGTTGGGGCGGTGTGACTGGTTGGGGCGGTGTGACTGGTTGGGGCGGTGTGACTGGTTGGGGCGGTGTGACTGGTTGGGGCGGTGTGACTGGTTGGGGCGGTGTGACTGGTTGGGGCGGTGTGGCTGGTTGGGGCGGTGTGACTGTTGGGGCGGTGTGGCTGGTTGGGGCGGTGTGACTGGTTGAGGCTGTGTGGCTGGTTGAGGCGGTGTGACTGGTTGAGGCGGTGTGACTGGTTGATGCGGTGTGACTGGTTGAGGCGGTGTGACTGGTTGGGGCGGTGTGACTGGTTGGGGCGGTGTGGCTGGTTGGGGCGGTGTGACTGGTTGAGGCTGTGTGACTGGCCGAGGCTGTGTGACTGGCCGAGGCTGTGTGACTGGCCGAGGCTGTGTGACTGGTTGGGGCGGTGTGGCTGGTTGGGGCGGTGTGACTGGTTGGGGCGGTGTGACTGGTTGGGGCGGTGTGACTGGTTGGGGCGGTGTGGCTGGTTGGGGCTGTGTGGCTGGTTGAGGCGGTGTGACTGGTTGAGGCGGTGTGACTGGTTGAGGCGGTGTGACTGGTTGGGGCGGTGTGACTGGTTGGGGCGGTGTGGCTGGTTGGGGCGGTGTGACTGGTTGGGGCGGTGTGACTGGTTGAGGCGGTGTGACTGGTTGGGGCGGTGTGACTGGTTGGGGCGGTGTGACTGGTTGGGGCGGTGTGACTGGTTGGGGCGGTGTGACTGGTTGGGGCGGTGTGACTGGTTGGGGCGGTGTGACTGGTTGAGGCAGTGTGACTGGTTGAGGCAGTGTGACTGGTTGAGGCAGTGTGACTGGTTGAGGCAGTGTGACTGGTTGAGGCAGTGTGACTGGTTGGATGGTGGCTGATTGGGGCGGCGTGACTGGTCGAGGCTGTGGCTGGTCGAGTCAGGTCGACAAGACCATTAACAGTGTGAGCCAGGACCATTAGGTCAAGTCCATCAACCAGACCCACGGTTATCACACAATACAAAACACCATTACTGACCCATACATACATCTCCATACATTATACACCTCCTCAGCTCATTCACAACACTTCCCACACGTGAACGTAACATGTATTATTATGTAGAAATTATGTGTAATAGTTTCAGCCTGTTTTTAGCCATTTTAACTATACATTCCCAGTGATTTGGTCATTTGAACTTGTTGACCTTCACAGTTTGGTGGTCAAGTGAACCTGAACTCCTCCGTTCTCTGTTTAATTGGCCCTCTTGACTAGGTGGATGACATCCACCTAAACTGGTCGAGGCAGAGACAGTGATTCTTGGCACCTCACAATCTGTGAGTGTCAAAGAGATTGTTGGCACTCTTGACACTAAAAGTAGATGTGATAAGCAAAGATCGAGTCTCATTGCATTAGGTAACTGATGGCTTGAAAACGGGGTCCCAGCAGCTGAAGCTTAACCTTTTTGGGTAAGAAATAAGTGAATAAGTAGACAACTGCTACGGGCTGCTTCCTGGGCGTGTGTAACAGAAAGTAGGCCTGGTCGAGGACCGGGCCGCGGGGACGCTAAGCCCCCGAAATCATCTCAAGATAACCTCAAGATAACCTCAAGATAACTCATACAATTCTCGCTCTTCCCCCGTCTCCTCCAGGACAGGAACGAGTGCAGTTCCTGGTGATTGATTACCAAGTTTGCTTGCTTATCTCACACATGAGTCGCAATATTGCATGAACAGCACTTCAGATCTGGACCTAAAGTCAATATTATTGATACCAACGAGGTAACAGTGTGCCAAGTTTCAAGGCGGTGTGGTCAGGGGGTCTATGAGGATGAGGTGTCAGGAAGTATGCAGGCGATGAGTCACAATACCGTTTGCTAAAGTATCGATTTATCAACACAATCGACTTGAGAATGGTCCAGGACTTGACCGAAACGACGTCGTCCCTTCACCTTCTAGTGTGTGGTCTGGTCAGGGAGTATCAGTATATCAGGCTTCAAAGGGACGTAGTCAGGAGTTTAGGTATGACATGGGTGGTTATAGATAGGAGCTGCCTCGTATGGGCCAATAGGCCTTCTGCAGTTACCTTTGTTCTTATGTTCTTGTGCTACTCAGCATAAAATAGAAGAAAAGGAACACTATAACCCCTAAGTGATCACAATAGCAATATGTCAACAAACAATGCCATTTCTCTCAACATCGTCCTAACCCACAATTCCAAAAAATTCTGGAAATACTGAATACAATTGCTCCGTCTTGCTGCGCTCAAGGGTGGTAACATTAGCGGGTCAACAGCTATTTAGACTGATGAAGATTAAGCCACCCAAGAGGTGGCACGGGCATGAATATCCCGTAACACCTATATAGAAGTTTGTGAGGCCAAAATGTTTTGCCCTGACGCTGGAGAGTGAGATGGTGGACGGCTAATGAGAAGCTCAGGCAAAGCATCGCTTGTAATGGCGACGACAACTTGGAAACGAGTAAGCTATAGTGACGACAGATTGCCTACAAGCCTTAGACGACAACACTACAAGACTGAGGAATCCTTAAACGCCTTGAACAGGTTGAACTCCAGCTCCTTCGCCCCGGTTAACCTCGAGTTTCGTCAAAGACCATTTCTAAGGACATATTTTTTATTTTATTAAACCGGCGATAGAACACAATTGAGGGTCAGTTGTTATTGTTCAAACGCGCAATAACAGCATATATATTGTAGTGATTACTGGCGCGTATCTATAAGGCTCTCCTGTTGCTGAAAGAAACACTGGAATTTGGGTAGGTAAGCTCAAGGGGAAGCTCGGTAGCACAGTAGTCGGCGCTGACGGTGCATAATCCCATGGTTCTTAGTTTGGGTTCCACGCAGGACGGGGGCGTTTAGGTGGGTTTGAAACCTATTGATGCCTCTGTTTTCAGAATGTTTTTTCCCAGCACCAATATCCAACTATCCATATCCCAGAATCAGCATCCCATTATCCATATCCCAGCTCCACCATCCAACTATCCATATCCCAGAATCAGCATCCCATTATCCATATCCCAGCTCCACCATCCAACTATCCATATCCCAGAATCAACATCCAACTATCCATATCCCAGCACCAACATCCCCCACCCAACATATCCCGCACCAACATCCCCCACCCAACGTATCCCAGCACCAACATCCCCACCCAACGTATCCCAGCACCAACATCCCCACCCAACATATCCCAGCACCAACATCCCCCACCCAACATATCCCAGCACCAACATCCCCCACCCAACGTATCCCAGCACCAACATCCCCCACCCAACGTATCCCAGCACCAACATCCCCCACCCAACATATCCCAGCACCAACATCCCCCACCCAACATATCCCAGCACCAACATCCCCCACCCAACATATCCCAGCACCAACATCCCCCACCCAACGTATCCTGCACCCAACATCCCCCACCCAACGTATCCCAGCACCAACATCCCCCACCCAACGTATCCCAGCACCAACATCCCCACCCAACGTATCCCAGCACCAACATCCCCCACCCAACGTATCCCAGCACCAACATCCCCCACCCAACGTATCCCAGCACCAACATCCCCCACCCAACGTATCCCAGCACCAACATCCCCACCAACGTATCCCAGCACCAACATCCCCCACCCAACGTATCCCAGCACCAACATCCCCCACCCAACGTATCCCAGCACCAACATCCCCACCCAACGTATCCCAGCACCAACATCCCCCACCCAACGTATCCCAGCACCAACATCCCCCACCCAAACGTATCCCAGCACCAACATCCCCCAACCAACGTATCCCAGCACCAACATCCCCCCACCCAACGTATCCCAGCACCAACATCCCCCACCCAACGTATCCCAGCACCAACATCCCCCACCCCACGTATCCCAGCACCAACATCCCCCACCCAACGTATCCCAGCACCAACCCCTGTTACCTAGCAGTAAATAGGTACCTGGGAGTTAGTCAGCTGTCACGGGCTGCTTCCTGGGTGTGTAGGCCTGGTCGAGGACCGGGCCGCGGGGACACTAAAAGCCCCGAAATCATCTAAAGATAACCTCAAGATAACCCAACGTATCCCAGCACCAACATCCCCCACCCAACGTATCCCAGCACCAACATCCCCCACCCAACGTATCCCAGCACCAACATCCCCACCCAACGTATCCCAGCACCAACATCCCCCCACCCAACGTATCCCAGCACCAACATCCCCACCCAACGTATCCCAGCACCAACATCCCCCACCCAACGTATCCCAGCACCAACATCCCCCACCCAACGTATCCCAGCACCAACATCCCCCACCCAACGTATCCCAGCACCAACATCCCCCACCCAACGTATCCCAGCACCAACATCCTCCACCCAACGTATCCCAGCACCAACATCCCCCACCCAACGTATCCCAGCACCAACACCCCCCACCCAACGTATCCCAGCACCAACATCCCCCACCCAACGTTATCCCAGCACCAACATCCCCCACCCAACGTATCCCAGCACCAACATCCCCCACCCAACGTATCCCAGCACCAACATCCCCCACCCAACGTATCCCAGCACCAACATCCCCCACCCAACGTATCCCAGCACCAACATCCCCCACCCAACGTATCCCAGCACCAACATCCCCACCCAACGTATCCCAGCAACAACATCCCCCACCCAACGTATCCCAGCACCAACACGTTCCCCCACCCAACGTATCCCAGCACCAACATCCCCCACCCAACGTATCCCAGCACCAACATCCCCACCCAACGTATCCCAGCACCAACATCCCCCACCCAACGTATCCCAGCACCAACATCCCCACCCAACGTATCCCAGCACCAACAACGTATCCCAGCACCAACATATCCCAGCACCCAACGTATCCCAGCACCAACATATCCCACCCAACGTATCCCAGCACCAGCGTATCCCAGCACCAACGTATCCCAGCACCAACGTATCCCAGCACCAACGTATCCCAGCACCAACGTATCCCAGCACCAACGTATCCCAGCACCAACGTATCCCAGCACCAACATATCCCAGCACCAACGTATCCCAGCACCAACGTATCCCAGCACCAACATATCCCACCCAACGCATCCCAGCACCAACATATCCACCAACGCATCCCAGCACCAACATATCCCACCCAACGCATCCCAGCACCAACGTATCCCAGCACCAACGTATCCCAGCACCAACGTATCCCAGCACCAACGTATCCCAGCACCAACGTATCCCAGCACCAACGTATCCCAGCACCAACATATCCCACCCAACGCATCCCAGCACCAACATATCCCACCCAACGTATCCCAGCACCAACGTATCCCAGCACCAACGTATCCCAGCACCAACGTATCCCAGCACCAACGTATCCCAGCACCAACGTATCCCAGCACCAACGTATCCCAGCACCAACGTATCCCAGCACCAACGTATCCCAGCACCAACGTATCCCAGCACCAACGTATCCCAGCACCAACGTATCCCAGCACCAACGTATCCCAACACCAACGTATCCCAGCACCAACGTATCCCAGCATCAACGTATCCCAGCACCAACGTATCCCAGCACCAACGTATCCCAGCACCAACGTATCCCAGCACCAACATCCCACCAGACATATCCCAGCACCAAGAACAATAACTGGGTGCTATTCTCAAGTATTTCACAGAGTCATGGCCACTCGTATTAAACTCAGTGACTGTGCGAAATGTTGCCTCTTGACGGGTATTCTTCAATGTTGACTTTAGTTAACGTGATTAAGAGCACTTTCGCTAACTTTCATCCCACCCGCAATATCCTAGCACGAGCGTTTCCAGCATCCCAGCATCCTATACCTAGCATCCCATACCTAGCATCCCGGTATTCCATAACTAGCATTCAATAATTCCATGCCTGTCAACCCAGCATATTCCATACGTAATATTCTAGTATTTCAAATCTAATAACCATTCTGTATCTA